AGAATGACATAACTGGTTTTAGGCAGAGTCTAAAGATCAGTTAGTTGTATCACGAATTATAAAATATGCAAAGGAATTTGAGCAGCCATAGTTAAAAATGACATTTAAATTTCACGGCTGCTTCACTTGTAACTATTCATTATGAAGCAGAAACTGTGTTTAAAATATTAGAGAGGTAGCACGAACGTTGAAAGTATGATTCCTCATATTTAATCTTAATCCAAGTAAATCTAACTTTATGGGAAGAAATAAAAATGTTGAAACGGGAGATGAAGGCAGAAATGAATAGTACATATTTTAGGATAAAACTGTTGGAGGGAAGTTATCAGCCGAGGTTGCGTGTTGACTTAGGACTAACGACCTCCTCATCCAATATTAGGTCAATTTTGTATACAATGATGTAAGTCAATCTTGGTGAATTCCTTATTTCCTAGTACTAAAGATAAGTACTTTAATTAATTGACTTGATATGTAGCTACACGATTATTATAATATAACACGCAAGCAGGAAAACTTTGAAAATTGATAGAATTACTAAATAGTCATTTACATTTCCGTTTTATAAAAATGTTATTTGATTGAAAGGCTAGAATTAATATTCAACGTTCCTTGATTATAGTCTATAGTTATCGTAGAATGTCGAAAGCAAGGAAAGTCCACGTTCTATATTTAGATCATCTATTTGCAACACGAAAGCCCCGTACGGTTAACCTAATATTCAAAGTGGTTTCTAATTACAGTTACATAGTACGCAATGCGAACAAAAAAGGAGCAATCAAATGTCGAGACCAGTTGTTCATGTAGATCAGATTTTATACTCGTATCTTCGATTTGCAGAACGATCATTCTGGTGTATGGACTTGATGTTATAACATCAAATAACTGTTGTTCACGGTTATGCAGCATTTTGCACCGAGAAAAAACGAAATCTCTATTGCTTGACCGGGATCTAAATCCGGGCCTTCCGTTTCCCGGATGACTACTCTATCAATTGAGCTGTGCTACACGTTGCTGATAGATTCTTCCTTCCTAATTCGAAGCTGTTAGAATGCGATTTCATTTATATCTAACTTTAACTACTATGAATTAAAAATTCATGCCAATCCACACGATATAAATTTCCTTTTACATCACGTTTAGCGAAAGCTCTAGAAACCTCGTTGAAAAATCTATTTCAATCTATGCTATTCATTTATTTAGTATACATTATTTCGACGTTATAGTATATCTAGAGATATCTTCATCTGAATGAAAAATAATTGTCATTTATTGGAAGCTCTCGAAATATTAATTTCTCTATAGCATAGAATATCTCTGGAAACTCTCGAAACCTCGTTTAAAGACATACTCCAATTTATACTATTTATTTATTGTACGCTATTTACAGATTATACACATATCTAGAAGTCTGTTTATTTCAGTGAAATGTAATCGTTATTTAATTAAAATTCTATATGACGCTAGATGATAATGTACTACATGGAACAGTCACTCATGATTGAGAATAAACTGGCTGTCTGTATTAAACCAAACTACTCTATCTGCAGCAGGTACTGCTTCGACACACTACAATCTCTCCACCTGCAAGGTAGAATCAAAGCAAAATTCATTAACAACTCTGTAATACACAGTGAAACGTTTAAATAGCCGCGAACGAGCGGGCAAACGAGGTGATCCGAGATGAATTTTCTAGTCCATAGCTAGTGGACGCTGCAGTTACACATTGTCGCATAATTCGGCTCGGTTAACGTCACTCGTCCGATTTGGCAGCAGCGTCCGTATGAACGTTAATATACCGGCTACAATAAGGCAAACCGCATCATGACATCCGGTGGAATACGGTACATGTTACGGCACAAGCACGCGTTCCCAAAGGGATAACAGCTCGACGCAACTCGACCATTCGTCGTTACACGCCTGTTCCATACGGGAGAAAAACCGTGGTCGAACGAACGCAATCGAGTTTCTAATCACCGAGCCGCGTTTTTTTCCTGCTGGAATTTCGGGCCATCGCTTCAACGTTCGTTTATTGAAACCGTTGGCACCCATTGTTGCGACACGGATCGCTTCTGACGAGGAGAAATTTTTGTGTGATGGTACATACCGGTATAAAATAGTTTTCCTATTTTTTCCATTCCCGTTAGTTCTCTCTTTTAGGAGAATTAAATAAAACTTTAGTTGATCGAGTTTGATATGGTGTTTATGGGTTGGATAGTTTGTCCACCGAGAGTTAATGAATAAATTAATTAGACGAAAAGAAGAAATTAAGCTTAAAGCTTTAAAGGTTAGCTTCGAAGAATAAGATTCAATAGAGTGAATATAGCGTGTAGAAGCTGAATCATAATCTTTTAAATCTTCTCTTTCTTCCTGACGATAATGTAGTCAAATATTAAAATACAAATTTTAGAAAAGTTGATTGAAAAATAAGAGTACCGTTTTCACTAGTTATGCGTTACACATTTCCTGCAGCGAAAGGACAAAGTTCAACTATTAGTTTTTGCAGTAATTTTGCGCTATCTGATACATCACACGCTTCAGGAGAGTAATATCCTGTTTTCCATTATCACTCACTGTAACTAGTTTTACACGAGAAAAAGAAATACATAGTGTATGCAAGTAGACATTTCAGCACGTACAGCAGTGAATGCATCGAAAACACATTTCGAAGCACGTAGCAAGACTTGTCAGAGGGAAGACGCGTACATAGAGAACAGGACAACGTCTCGTTTGACAAATGATACGTTATATCTTATCGCTGTTTATCTCTTCGCTCGTACCCAACAATCTCTTACCATCTTCGAATAAATCAGTATTCAGTCTCCGTTCTGGCATCTCGCTAGAAAGCTTTTGACAACATAGAACTTTTTTCAATTTGTTCATTCTCCACCGGATCATTCTCTTCTTCTCAGATTTCTCGAATTCGTAGAAATCTCGATAAGTGAAAAGAACCTTCTTTCGTAAACTATTGCCGTTAACTTACTCGTTAGATATTAATTTATTCTATGGAAATTCAAAGAAAAATCTATTTCTTAAAACGCGTGTTCTCTTATTGTATGAGAAATATGAAGACTAATAATTATGATGAAATATGATGTCCTTGAATGTCTTTAAGCCTCTTATCTTTCAATTCAATTTATTCTTATCTCTTAATAGGAATAAGTCAAATGTATCTTATTAATATGCTTTATTTGTGAATGAAAGTTAAATAAAGTAAGGTAAATATTGGAACAGGAATTAATAATGGAATAGAAAAAATGAGCAATGCAAAATTTTATAAAATAATTGCTATTATAAGAAGAAACTATCTAGTTGAATGGAGTATTGACTGAATGGTGACAGAAGTTTCGTTCGTGTAACGATTTCGTTCAGGAGAAAAAATACGAGGTTCGTCGAACGACAAGTTGCAACGTAGGGAACCGGAACTCACTTTCAGTGGGCTGGTTAACTCCTCATTGTGTTCCGTTTATGACCGTGACGAAAAAGTACGTACCTCTTTGTCGTCAACCGGAAGAACGCGGAAATCCGTGCTCGAAATCGACAATTGTTAAAACCGCAATTATAATGGAGCCTTGTTTAACTATTCTCCGTATTCTGTAAATGAATCATCAATTTTTAATCCGTGATATTTAGGCGTTCTGAACGTAAAACGCTACAGAAGTAATAGATTCTCCGTGTTTCTCAGAATTTTTCTTTTTTATTAAAATTTTAAAATTCAAGAATCAGAGAAATTTTATAGAGGAATTTATCACAGATCATTCCAGCTGTTTGGCGTTTCAATGTCTAAATTTGTCTACATTCCAGGTTGCCTCGCAACTAAGGGCTAAAGTTGTCTTCACTAAATAGTGTTCGGAAACCACTTTCTTAGTACATAGTTTGTCACAGTCACTAGCAATTTACGTTGCTTGACGCTAAACTAGCAGTTCATTCTTCTTTACATATTTTCATTGTCAGGTATTATTAGACACATTTGGACTTGTTCAGATATTTATGTATACGTTTTAGTCGAATTAAAAAGCCTAATTATCCAAATATAAATTCGATCTATTTCCAATCATCTATTAGTCATCCGCTAATAAAAAATAATGATTCACAATTAAATTATTTGTTCAGAAGGCTATTCAATTTCCAATGATCTACAATGATAATTAAAATATCACTTGCAGCATTATTATCTTTCTGTATCACCAACACGTGGCTTCGGTAATCAACATTGATTCACACGTTATCACACGTGTTCTCTTCTAAAGACATAAATCTGAACAAAAGCAAAACAAGAATACAAATCACGTAATCCCTGACTTCCAAAATATTATTCAGCCTATCATTTGGTTGTGTCCCCTTTTCCCTGAGTATTTAGGGAAATTTCTAATCAATGACCAAAGCTCGTTACGAAATTAATTTCGAACATCGATAAACGAGCTCTTCCCAGCGAGTAACCGCACCGCAGTTCGCTTATCGCGTCACATGTTCGAATTATCTATGAGTTTGTTGGTAGCTGGCCAAACGCGAGGAAAAGTCGCTGGAAACAGTCGTGCCGCCGAAAGAATACAACGACGGTATTGCGTGACTCATGCATCGCGGGTTTTATGCATTCCTCCGTGATGTCATAATCTCTCTCTCTCTCTCTCTCTCTCTCTCTCTCTCTCTCTCTCGCGAGAGTTTCTTCCCTGTTGTGGGAAATCTTCGATCTCGTTTTACGTATCTTATATCGCGAATCTCGTTTGCGTTCGTTCCGCTCCATTAATCGTGTCTTGGCTCTAAAAACGAGAAAAAGCAAAAAAAATGTATCGTGATTTATCGCGCATAGTCGTTGAAGGATTGCAGAGGAAAAAAGTAAGGAGAAAATGGCCCTAGGTTGATTCTGTTACGGGAAACTCGTTTGATCGATGTTAGCTTGATTGCTGGGTGAAAGAGTATATAATTGTAGGTAATTTGTGACACGAAAGATTTTATTGAATTCCTATATATCTATATTCGTTCCTTCTATATCATACAAATGAAAGATGTATTTACGACTTGATTTCGTAACATCGATGTATGGCGCATTATTGGGTAACAATGTAATACTTGAAGGGGAAACTGATTAGTAATAGAAGAAGTATGGCAAAATTAAGTATATGATCTTCTCCAGATGTTCAGATAGATGAACTTGTTTTAGGTGCACTAGCTGTTAGAAAATAACGACTAAATATTTTTAAGACAAAGGAAGCTTAATAAAAGAAGAAATATAATATTACAAAATGAATGTATCATTTTTTCGATGAATTCAGATAAATGGATTTCTACCTGTTATACCCGGCTGATTTTGAGATATACATGCTGTCTTACTTTAATCTATCTACGTAATTATCTCCTAAACTCCTGCGTTCTAAACTATTCATTATTCGAAGCATGTCCTAGAGCATTACATTTTTCACGTAAAACTTACTTTGTTGTAAAACTTATCGTCTAAAAGAGAAGGTAAGACAACGTGGTGCTTTCTTGCTTATGTTTTCCTTATATTCCATACGATAAGTTTAGCGATATTACAGTTAAAATGACTTTTAAATTAATCATTTATCGATTCAAGCATCTTAATATTTTCTTGTAAAGAATTAAAACGTGCATCGAATGGCGTACAAAACATGTATAGGTCTATTTAAAAAAGAACGAAAGCCTCTTTGAAACCTCAAAGGCACGTCCACCTAGGTAAATCTTGTGACCGTCACAAGATGTTCCCCACGGAACAAAGTAAGTTTCACGTAAAATATTTTTTCGAATAATGAATAGTTTGGAACTAGGAAGATAATATAATTGCACGAATAGATTAAAATGAGATACCTTGTATTTTTCTCGAAAATAACATCTTCAACGCGATTTCGTTACTCTCCAATTTCTACTTATCTTCACCTATAGAACCTTCTTCGCTGCAATTTACAGCAATTTACGACATACGAAGTATACACAATCGCCTCGGAAAGTAAGTTAACGGTCTTACATTTAAACTTTTAGCGGGAGCGTTAACTTATTTCCCAAGGCGACTGTATATTCTCTTAAATCGTACGTCTTCATAATCGTCGTTCGTAGAGACATCAACGCCTGAAACACGGCGATAAATCGTAATTCCAGGCGAATCTACGGTCGAATTCGAGGAAGAGGTGCGGTTCGTGCGAGCATAAAACGTATCGCGAAAGGATGTTCTCGCTTTCGCGGGCTCAGTCATGGCTTTTATCGACGTAATTACTCGTTGCTCACGCGCGTCTATTGATCTTAAACGGAAGCAACCGGAGCCTTCGCTCGCACGCAGCGCGCATTTTAATGGGAGACGTACCGTTTCCTCCGCCGCAGAATGGATTAGTCATGACCTCCAAGAAGTTTCCCAGAAAGCCAGAGTAACGAACCGTCGTCGTCGCCTCTTCTAGATGAGTGACGTGTTCTTACAAGTTATATCTTGCACGAGAGTGTCGTGTGTTGCTCGGGTTCCTCTTCATCTTGTTAACCGGTTCGATGGTTAATAATTTGCTTCGATCGTGAGAATAAGCAACGGATTTTTCTTTGAGGTCGTTGATCGATAGTTGCGGATCAATTTAGTGTTTTTCGAATACTACTTGCTGCTCCGAATGCTTCGAGGATGTTTTTGTGGGATATTTCTTGGTTAATTCTCGGTATGTATATTGTTGAGATAATTATTACACTTTTCTTCAGTATGAAATGGAGGTTATAGGAGGTTATAGATTATAGATTATAAGAAATCTTTGTCGTTAAAAAGCTTGAATCAGTTGAAAGAGATAATCGTTTGCAGCGATTCTTGTTTCCTGTGCATTTAAGGCAACCATTGGATTCTAACAATTGTAACTCAGTACTGATGCGATAGGTATATCGCAAATACCGTATCGATATACGAGTATTCAGTTGTTGGCTTTAATTTTGCATCATTTACTTCCTGTCTCTTCAATATTCCATTAAAATACATTAGGATGAATCATCCAAAAATGTAAGTTATTTAGAGACATTGGACTGTATAGTATATCTACTTTTCCGAATTTGTGTTATGCCAAAGCACAAGAAGGCTAATGGCTAATGGATTAGTTGACTCAACCTTCAGTCGAATGTACATTTCAAAATCAAGTTCGACGTGAAATTGCGTCTTCCTCTGTTATCTCATCATCTTCGTGTCAGCTTACATTATACGCGACTTTGTTCAGGTATAAGGTAATTACGTAGCATGCAATCCACGAACAAGCGCAAGTTTTGCCTTGAAAATGTGTCTTCTATTCATTAACATGACAATGTCCGACCCTGGTCAGCTGAAACGAACCTTCACCATATGCAAGCGCGTTCCACGCAAGTGTAGATTCATTGTCTGTTTTGTGCCATTCAATTCTTTCTCAGGGTCGTCTGCGTGTTTTCGAGGACCTGGAACATTGCAGGCTCCGTAAACTGACTGATAAGCCGTTCTGCGAAACAAAGTTCACGCGAATGCAGTCTCAAGATCACATCTTACGACGCAAACCAACAATTGGCATTACGTTAATAGAATCCACAAAAATACCAAATAAATTTAACGTTTGTTTTATAGAAGTTTAATTATTCTCTAATCTGTAACACCAAATTGGATCATGTCGACACAGCTAACACAAAGAACCTATACTCTGTGAAAGATAATACGGTAATAAGTCAATACTTTATACCTACACGACTGTAAAAGAAATCATTGTTCCTTCGTGTAACTAGAACAAACCATCTACATACCCATAATCGTCACAAAACTACGAAACTATGCAACTATGAAAATTTCACGATCTCCAAAAGCTCATTGCAATAGCATCTATGATCACTAATTCTCAAGAATTCTATCTCAAAACCATCTTTTCCATCCTCATAAATTCCTCAATCCAAAACTAGGTTACTCCGCATACCAAAACTCAAGTAACTAGCAAAAAAAAAAAAAGAGCAGATTAATATACCGATGACGAAACATTCTCGACATCCTCTCATCTTTCTCCTTCGCACCATCCTAACCAACAGTAGCATAATTCGGCCTGGGGTCCCAGCAAACTCTAGTCCCATCTCTGGGGTCATCTTTCCACGCGACCAACACACACTACATAGTCCTATACGAGTCGGGTAACTTTTTACGCGTCTCTGTTCCTCCTTACCGGCCGTTCGCCTCTCCCTTCCCTTTCTTTGCTGTCCGGCTGCTAAGTGCGGGTGGCGAGGACCGGACCTCCTCTCCCCTCTCCTCAAGCTACTCCTACTCGAACACGTTGCCACCACCACCACTACCACCGTTGCAACCGCTCCTCGTGGATCTAACACGTTCGAATTAGTCGTCTCGTTAAGCAGCCTCGTGGCGCGTCGTCGATCAACTCCGTCGTTTGTGTTTGCCTCTCTTGGATCACCAAATCTTTAGTCGTTTGGCGAACGACAACGAGAAACAGCGATTCAACGCCGCGGACCGGTTCGTCGCGTGTTCCTCTGACCGATGCACGCCACAACCACGGATCCTCCGGTGCTGAAATCGAACTGGAACTACCTGCGCCAACCTCGATCGCTTTGTAGACCGGTTTCGTTCTTCCATCGGGCTTCCAACTGGAATCCCTAGTCTGCACGAGTTTGCTCAGAGAAGCTTTATTCGAGGTTAGGTTAGACAAAAATTGGGGATATTATGCGAAATAGAGACTTGTATTTGAGTGTTGGGTTATGCTAGGTCGTGTGATAATACAGGAGAATTTGTGAGGTGACCGAAATATAAGCCTTTCGGTAGTTTGTGAAGAGACGTGTATGTTCTTGTATAATCGTTTCTCTTTCTCTTTTTTTTTTTATTTCTTTCGACTGTTCCAAACTTCATCAGTTGTTCATTAGAGATTTTTTTATTATTGCATAATTGTAGGAGTATCAAGTTTCAAGTTGATGAACAGCTGATACTTTTTTTGTGAGATTGACAATATTATTGGGACTAAAGAAGAGACGATTAATAAATCAATAGGAAACGAATTTTCATCTTCAACCTGAATTATCGAACAGTCGATATACGAAAACAAATATGTTTAATCAGTAAAAAAAATCACGTTTAAATTATCTCACAAAAGACTCGGACATCAAAATTACTCATGTCCAATAAATCCCCGGACAAGAATCTGTAATTGTAGAGAAAGAAGTCATTATTTATCGGCAGAAGTCCAATCAAGTTGTAAATTAGTATTCGTCGACTGATAATCAAACAGCTGATTATCGAAAACATCAGTAAACAGATATCTGATCGAAAAGGAAGGGAAATTCGTCGAAAGCACGGTGCTTGAATCACGCACAGGTAGACTGGAGGAGGCAGCGTAAGGTCACGTGTCTTCAGTCGAAGGAGGATCGATAGAACCGCTGGAATCAGCCGCCAGTGTACAGTAGGACGAAGATCGATCGAGGCAGGTGGATCATCGCGCGCGGCTCGTAGTCAGGGCGTGTCGCTCGAGTTCAGAAAACTTGGTTTCGTTACTGAGCAGCTGAGAACCGCTCTAGTGGAATTACAGTGCGAGCACCAGTCTACCATTTAATACTGGCGCGTCAAATGTGTGGCGCTAAAATTGTGATCTACACTCAAGTGCAATTGTCATTCGTGTCTCTGAAACTTGTATTATTACATTGAATTTTTATTTACCGTACGATGACAAGTGTGTAAGAGAAAAGTGCAAAAGTTGGATAGTGTACAAACAAGTGAACACACGAAGAAATTTTGGAAAATTATTATATGGTATTATAGTGTTTGGTTCCTTAGAATTGAAAAGAGGGGACGTACTGGTAATTGATAATACACAGGATTCTTCAGCAACTTGCGAGAAAAACTGATTCATCCACAGGGTGTGTATTTTTGTTCCTTGTTTCAAAGTAAATGTTAATCAGGATATAGTATCTCTTTTTAATGAAATAACGAAAGTATCAGCTACTTAATGTCGCGATTATGTGAACAATTCCCTGAACAATTAACAGTTAGAGCACGATATTAGATCTACGACGCTTCCGTTAAATATTTCGAAAACAAAATTACCGAAAGCTATACGCAAGTGAGCGAACATCGCACATAAAACTGCTGGCAGCGGTAAACATCGAAATTACGTCTCGCTAAATGCCGGCATTCGTTGCGTTATCTCGCAGCAGACGGTCGAAATCGAGCGTGCGTACGTACGGGTGCAACAGCTGCGTAGAAATTTTTACGAAACGATACACACGCGTCGACGGTGCTGAGTCCGGTTTTCCAAAAGTCAGCGATTTGTCGACCGGTGGCGGTCGTGTAACCGTGCGGTCATTGTTCGTAGTTTGTGAACTCGGAAGGCGCGCACATCGTATCCTGCGAGGAGGAAAAAGGACATCTGGCGAACCGATGGAAAGAGAAGAAAAGGTGGGGGGACGGGTGTCGCGTCGGTAATGGGCGAACGTTGGACTTTCTGCGCTTTCCTCGGTCTTGTTACGTACCCTCCCTTGTTTCTACGTGTTCGTGCACGCACGCACGCGCGCGCGCGCTCAACCGTGCATTAGTGTCACGTGCAGTCAACGAGGGAATCCTGCGTGACCGAAGTTCCTGGCGTGCCTCGCAAAAACCGTGATACTTGTTGCTCGTCGCGTGGCTCGATGTAATAATAGTTTGTCCATTCGTTGCGTCATTATTTGAGGACGCGTCGCGAGTCGAGAAATCGCGCCGTCTCGATATCGTTCGTGGGGACAGTGCGGGCACATCGTTCGAGAGAGACAGAGAAACGTTATTGAGTTTGCGTAACGAATTAACGAGCGCCGAGACGACCAGGTAAATATATTAAGACGTTTGCGAAGATATACGTTTTGGGTTGGATTTAGGTTATTCAAATGACATGAAAGATGCAAATAAGAATATTGACTTTTTTACACTTTAGAAAGAGCCAGATAATGATATAAATATTTACTGTCAGCAATAAATATCAGAAGAATTATCATTGGTTACTTTTATTGAGAAAGTGTAGAATACTTTGTTTTATTTAATGTTAATAAAAAGGGGAGGTTAGCTTGACTTCGGAGAGGCACAAAGAACAAAGTTTTAATAAAATAACTGGAAAATATTCATTCGGTTTGTGCTACATAAATATCATCGAGCATTCTAATACTTATGGTTGGATTTCCGATACCTATAAATTTGAAGGAAATTCTTTCGTAAGAATGTTGATGATAAAAAGACACTTTAAAAATGAGTAATACCCTCATATTTAAAAATCATAAAAAGATAAATTGATAAAGTAAAATGTGATCATAAAAAGACGGATAGAGATTATAGAAATCATGTTGACCTTTAATTAAAGATCAGGTTCTTTTAAAATTAGATTAAACACAATTGCATCCTTTAAACACGAGTATGCTCGTTAATTGCTTGATTGAAACCTGTTATATCATTCTCGTGGCTCTCGTTGGTACAATTTACACGAGTTTCTTGCTCGGTTTTTATAGCTTCTACCTGTCTTGCTTTTCTACGTTCCGTCTTACAACAAAAAAGGATAGCTATCTCGAACGTAGTTAAGCCAGCACAGGTACAATCAGGTATATGCGTTCTTCTACCTGCGGAACTACGTTCTTTCGTCGAAACGCATTCTTTCAGAGAAAACATTGACAAGGTGAGCTAGAGATATTTCCTTCGCGTTGAGTTATATCCAGAGCACTAAAACGGTGTTCAGCTACTTCTAGTACTACTCTACTACCTCGTGAGCAAGGCTAATTTCTAAACTAAAATATTCTATCGCCTAACAGCATCCATAACACTGACAGCGCTGGTAATCAAGAAATATCAATCCGTGTAATACAAATCATGACATAGCAAGGCTGTAAATTCAAACATCAAAAAGCAGTACCGACTGATGTCTTAGAACTGTAGACTCACTTAAAGCCGTATACTGCAGTCTGTTTTAGCGTTCTACTTTTGTCTAATTATCATTTATAACCAGAAGAATTGCAAGTATTAATCTGTTAATCGAGGAAAATGAGTTCACTCGGATTCTTTATATCTTAGACATAGCAATTTTTTTGCGTGTGGATTCCTATATTTTAATATATCGTTCTGCGTTCGTTGAAAATAACCTGTATCATATCTATATTTGGAAAAATAAAAATCGACCTATTTGATTATATTTATGATTACAGCACGACTCGGTTAAAAGACTGAAAAATTGCGAGGAAAAATTGTTACAAAAATACGCACAAATTTTTATTTCGCTATAAAGTACATCGACTTCGTATTAAAATTTCGTTTATACAACCTTGGCCGAAGTTTCGGGTTTTTATGTGCCCATATTTCTGTCAATTTTTTGTCCCGGTATCTTAAAACTTGGTTACCTTGACTACTCTGACGATCTCGTATATCGTGATCATTACTATATTACCGTTCTATTCTATTTATTCTATTATCCTGGTACCGCAGATTAACTAAGAACATTAGAAACTCATTAAGAACACGGCGTAGGGTCATCTTTCTCGTAGAATTCGTGTTGTCCGGCCAGGTTATTTCCGGCTCGCAATTCCGATATTTTTAGGGGCGATTCTATGTTTGGCCGTGGCACGGCTCTTGCCTCGTGTGTTATGTTATAATCCAGCCCCGAAATATAGCGGACATCTGGGCAAATATACAGTTCGATTTCACGAGCGCGGCAGACGAACAACAATTGACTAGCGATCGAAATCGCGGTCCGCTTTGTTCCGTTTTTAAACCTTTCGAACCAGGAAAGAAAACATCCTTTCGAGGCAACGTGTTTATAACATTTCCTTTGTTCTGCAACCCCAGTTTGGAATATCTTCCTTCCGATTGAGTTTTCATTAGTTTGGTGTATTTGAACTTACTGGATTTAAATCGCGCGCGTTTTTGGCGAATACAGGAGGAATGGAGAAAGGGAAGACTGGTTCGTGATCGAGCTACGAGGTTTATATTTATTACTATGTAGAAAATGAATATATATGTTTCTAGATGTATTAGCAGAGAATTTTAAACTGTTCGAGGAACAGATATTCTTCTTGGTTAAAAAGTATTGCGAAAGATAAGGAAAGTTCCGCTTGAATATTATTCATATATTATAATATTTTAATACAAATTACTATATAATTGACATGGTCGAAAGAAACTAGAGGTAATAAAAAAATGTCTACGCTTATACCAAGTAATATCGAAATTCTTAAAAATCAGACATCCATCATTAACCGTAATCACATATTATTAAAATCACGTGTTGGAAAAAAATTGAGAGAAAAATCACGAAACTTTGACAAAAACTTTACGATAATTCGTATAAAGCGTATATATAAAATCTTGCAATATAGAAACAAAAAGTTTTATCCGAAAGTTATTTGGTAGAATTTAATATCGAACAACGAAAGGCAGATTTCGATGAATAAGTTAAGTAAATAAATAAGGAATTAAACGAACCGCAGTGTCTACGAAAAGTATAATTCTATAAAT